GGTATATCTTTTGTGATTGGTCATACCAATCAGCCAATAGGAATTTCAACCAGGCTGATGGGACAGAGGCAGCCACAGGAGGAGCAAAGGGGGCTGGATTAAGGGAATATAAGTGCTGGCCATAATGGCAGGAAGGCAGGCCAGAGCTTGGTAACCATATACCACTGTGCCTCTCATTTATTTGTCTGACAAATAAATAATTATTTAATTTCTCTGTTGCTGCGTTGAATATTTCATTCCAGCTAAGCGTTAACCACAAGCAGGGTGCTACAGAAGAACTTGCATTGCATGTAGCTTGTGCTTTGCTAAATTTGTGTGTGCCTACTTTTGGACACCTGTGCTTGTAAAGATGTCTATGTAACCAATAAACTCTTTACTGCTTCACCAATTTTGTTCAGATTTTATTTTGAGGGTCTCAGACCCACCTGTCCAGCCTAAGAAGTGAGAGGTCAGCATATTCTGCAGTGGGCAGTGAGGACATCCAGTCCTCATCATAACCCCGTTAGGTTTTTAATGGGATTCATTTGTATCTCCACAAACGTTGGGATTCCCCCAAACCTGGTGACTCCCTCTTGTGTGTGGATGGGATGTGTGGTTTTGTTAGACGGTACCCCTTTGACCAACTTTGATAACCAACAAATCTAAGTCTCTTTGCCTTGGGATCTCCTTTCCTTCTCTGTCCTTTTGGGATGTGAACCCAAGCCCAACAACCAAAAGTTTTAACATGGTCCAAAACAGGTTTTTTCCCCATAAAGCAAAAAAAATGAGGGGTATTGTTTATGGTAGAATGAAACAATCTGTTCTGTATGTAATTAGCACAGAGAATTGCTTCCACCCCCAAACTTCCCCGATGCTTTTTAACATCTTTATGCGCCCCCTCGCCCAGCTTGTTCGGAGTTTTGGGCTGGGTTGCCATCAGTATGCTGATGACACCCAACTCTATCTGTTGATGGATGGCCATCCTGATTCGGCCCCAGAAACGCTGACCAGATGCCTGGAATCTGTGGCTGGATGGTTACGTGGGAGGCGGTTGAAGTTAAATCCTTCGAAGACAGAGGTCCTTTGGCTGGGACGGGACGATATGGGATTGAGGGGGCAACTCCCATCTCTTGCGGGGGTGCAGTTAGTGCCAGCACCGTCCGTTAAGAGTTTGGGTGTAATCTTCGATACCTCCCTCTCCATGGAGGCGCAGATTGCAGCTATAACAAAGGCGGCATTTTTTTATCTCCGCCAAGCTAAGCAGTTGGCTCCTTACCTCTCTCGCCCTGACCTAGCCACTGTGATCCACGCGACGGTCACCTCCAGACTGGATTATTGTAACTCGCTGTACGTGGGGCTGCCCTTGAGACTGACCCAGAAACTCCAGCTGGTGCAAATGCCGCAGCGAGACTCCTTATCGGGTCGTCGCTGCGAGATCACATTCATCCGGTACTATACCAGCATATGCTTTGTCCTCCAGTCTTTGGTCTGTGTCATCTACTTCTTCATCCTCATCTTTTACAGGAGGGTTAACAATAACAGTCCAACATTGTTCTTTCTTTAAAAATGCCTGCATTTGTAAACTCCATGACATATAATTGGATTCTCCCAGTTTCTCTACTGAAGCTTCCCCTTGAGCTCCAGCTCCAAGTCCAGCCATGGCTCCACCCAGCTTTCAGCTTTCCACTCAGTCTTTACTCACACGTGGCTTGAAGAATTGTTCGGCTCCAGGTCTCAAACAGACACTCACTGCCGACGCTTTCACACAGCCAGCTGCTTGAGAAACGCTGAGTCGCTTCCAGTCTCTGGGTTCTTTTCCACGCTCTGTCTCTGCCCACTCAGAACTGGGCCCATAACCTGTTAGAGGGGGTCTTTCTTCTGGTGGCAGACGACAGGACCATGAGACCGGTGTAAATCACTCAAACAAAGTTTTTATTACAGCTATACAAAAACAACAAGCACAAAGCATGTGGGTGTTCTCTCTCTGCAGGCAAATTCAAACTGCAACTTCTCCTTTTGTAGTCATCACCAGCTGTACCTAATCAGCCTAGAAAACCACTCACAGAAACAGTTCTTAAAGTTACAATCATCTTTTCTGTTTCTTTGCAGAATGACTCCTAACAGGTTTGGCTACATGAGGAAGATTCCCACTTCGAGAATAACTTGGCATGAGGTAGAATTTTGTGTGTCTTCTTCATTTGTAGTGCCTGGACAACTGGCGGGCATATTTGGATCAAGCTACAAATGGTCCATGATGCCAGATCTATGACCTGACCATCATCTCCCGCCCAAGAGTGATAGAGCTGTGCCAATTCCCAACTGGAGGCTAAAAATGGAATCCATCAATTACGGCTCCCAAGAGGGGACCATCTTGCCAGGGACTCCTCTGAGAACAGAGCTGAGCTTACTTAATCCTGTTGGGCACAACAGCATCCTTCAGACCCTGCTGGGCCCTTGGATGCTTCTCAGCGCATCAAGGTAGGTAAAACTGCAGCATCTGTCCCTAAAGAGGATGCTGAAATGGAAAGAGGACAAGGTAAGGAACGTGGCTGAGTCAAACTAGGATGCTGGGCTGCTGTTTTAGGTGCAACATTATCCAGGTTGCCTTATGCAAGACTTACAAGGCTCAAAGCTGGACAGAGTCTGGAAAGCCCACATTCTATTCTGGGCACCCTCTTTCAAGAAGAGCTGATCTGATGTGGATTTAGGGGAGAATCTGGAGGAAGATGTAAGGAGGACAGTTGTGGAGAAAAAGAGGGGAGGGAAGTGAGCTTGCCTAGGGATGTTGCACCACTTCCTTCCTGTCAATGGCTATCTGCCTCCTGGGTTGACTTCTTAAGTGTTTTAAGAGTCTATTTTGTCCACACTTCAATGGAATCATAGAATTGACCGCAAGGACCATCTAATTCCATCCCCTGCAATGCAGAAGTCTTGCCCAGCCTGGGACTCACAGCCACAGCCCTGAGATTAAGAGTCACACGCTCTAGCCCCTCCTTGAGCGGAGAGATAGCAGAGAGAAAAGGCCAGAATTTCAGGAGGGAGAGACAGGACTGCAGTGGGCAAGGAGGCAAGTGAACGGGGGGGGGGTGGTGTCACTTTTGCAAGGTGGGTGGGCAGGAGGGAGCAGAGCATGAGGCCGGCAGTTTTATGCTGCAGAGAGAGTCAGACATGATGTTTGGGGTCTCTTGGCATCTGAGGTTGCAGCCATGGGAGGAACGGGACGCTCTTGGAATGTGAGTGCCCTGCACTTTCTCCATATAGGTATAGACTGTATATTTGTGTGAATAAGCCACATATCAGGCTCTGCTATGCTTGTTCCCCAAAGGAAACACAACCCCTGAGTGAGTGCCTGGAACCCCCAGAATCTCACTCGCGGCTCGAGGAGGTTTGGGTGGGCAGAACAATGTAATGTAGGATGCCTACACAAGACCGGGGGGAAATACGTGTGTCAAACTGCATCTGGTGATAAGCAGAACTGGTGTTAGCAAAGACAGATAGCATCTTTGGTCCTTACAAGCAATTGCTACCCGCCTCCCGCCCGCCTCTCTCTCTCCAAGGCATGTTCCTGTCACTCTCCTCACCACAAAAAGTCTGGTTATTTTGCGGGGAGCTGGGTTTGTTGCACAAGAGAGCCGAACCACCTTTAACTACACAACCTGAATTTGCCAGTATTTAATTAAACCCCACTTGAAAATCGCAACTGTCTGGAACTGGCTCAGGCTGCTGCTCCCTTTTTACAGATGGGGACTGATCCTGAGTTCAAGCCTACCTCTCTCCTTTTTTTGCTGCTTGGGAATGATCCCTTTTACCCGCAAGATACCGTCCCTTCCCTTTCATTGTGGTGCCATCTTGCCTTTTATTTCTAGTGTCTTTTATTTCTATATGCCGCAGTCGCATATGGAGGATCCTCCATTCGTGGCTGCGGCCACGATCAGAGGATCCCGCCACCGCCTGTATGGTGTTCTGGTGGCACTGGCGGCAAACCTCTATGTACAACACATGCGTGGTGTCGCACGCATGCGCTGTACGTAGCAATGCCACACATGCGCCCTATATATATAGAGAGCCAGTGTGGTGTAGTGGTTGAGCGGTAGTCTCGTAATCTGGGGAACCGGGTTTGAGTCTCCGCTCCTCCACCTGCAGCTGCTGGGTGACCTTGGGCCAGTCACACTTCATTGAAGTCTCTCAGCCCCACTCACCTCACAGAGTGTTTGTTGTGGGGGAGGAAGGGAAAGGAGAATGTTAGCCGCTTTGAGACTCCTTAAAGGGAGTGAAAGGCGGGATATCAAATCCAAACTCTTCTATAGTGACACCACACATGCATTGTACGTAGCGGCGCAACACATGTGCCGCCAGCGGTTTGCACCGTCCTGGATATCGGTTAGATTTCGTTCGCCCTGAGTCAGTGTGGGCAATACTGAGCTGGAGGGACCAAGCAACTTCATGTGCTCCTAATGGATGAAATATTTCCCCCCCTTATTCCTTTCACAACATTAACAAACTGCTTGACTGTAATAAGACCTCTAAGCAGGTTACCAAAAAAAGCAGTAAAATGATTAACAAAAGACAGATCTTTTTAAAATATTCCAAAGGCTAGGGGGCGGCAGAACAGGTATTAAGTAGATTCCTACGCGGTAAGGGAAATCCAGAAGCAAACAGGTCCCAAACTGGAAAGGTCTTTAAGTACTGATAGTAACACCTGGAACTTGGTCTTGTAACCAATTGGCAGCCAGTGCAGATCTCTGAGCAGAGGTGCTCAAAGGTGACAGGGTCTCACTCTGTAAGCAATTGTGCCGCAGCATTCTGCACAAACTGCACCTTCTGAATCGAGCACAAGGGGAGCTCCATATAGAATCTGTTGCACTGATCCAGTCTTAAACTTGCCAGTGTTTGAACTACTGTGGTGAAGCTCTCCCAGTCCAGGAATGGTCACTGCTGCCATACTACCCACAGATTGTAAAATAACGAGTGAAATGTTCCTCTCTTCCCTCTTTTCAGATCTAAGGATTGCTATCTCCAATCATCGCCAAGATGGCTGGAGGGGATCAGAACGGAACAGCCAACGTCTCCTACACAGAATTCCTTTTGCTCCCCTTCCCAGGCCTCCAAGAGTCCAGATATCTCCTCGCCATCCCTTTCTTCTGTCTTTACTTCATGATTGTTGCAGGGAACTCCATCCTGATCCACACTGTGAGGACAGATCACAGTCTCCATTCGCCCATGTACGTCCTGATTGCTTTGCTCTTCGCAGTCAACCTCTGTGGCTCCACCGTCATCCTTCCCAAGATGCTCCTCAGCTTCCTTCTCGGAGTCAGCCACATCTCCCTGACGGAGTGCCTGGTCCAGATGTTCTTCATCTACTTTGTCCTCATGTTGGACTGCAATGTGCTCCTCCTGATGGCTTTGGACAGGTATGTGGCCATTTGCCACCCTCTGCATTACACAGACATCATGACGAAGAAGCTCCTGGTGATATTGACACTGGTCGCTCTTGCCCGGAGTCTGGCTGTAGTGGGCCCAGTGGTAATCCTGGCCTCCCAGGTGAGGTTTTGCCGGTCCAACATCATTGGGCATTTTGCCTGTGAGCACATGGCCCTCATGAAGTTGTCCTGTGGTGACATCTCCAGGAACAAGATTGTAGGCCTGGCAGCAAGAACCATCACCATCATCTTTGACTTTTGTTTCCTCCTGGGTTCTTATGGCTGCATCCTCCAGGTATCCATGCAGATGAGCTCTGGCCACACCCGACACAAGGCCTTCCACACCTGTGGCACCCACCTCATGGTCATCCTCACAGTCTACTCTTGCAGCCTTGTCTCCTCTCTTGTCTTCCGCTTAGCTAAGTCAGCCAGCCAGGATGTCCACAATCTGCTCAGCGCAATATACCTGTTTCTTCCCTGGATCCTCAACCCCATCATTTATGGCTTGAGGACTAAGGAGATCCAGGACAGTCTTTGGAAGCTGCTCAGGAGGAAATGGGCTCATTTGGTCCCAGGGAAAGCAGTGGCTAGGAGCAGAACCAAGTGACTGATTCTGTGTGCCAGATTTAGCAGAACCACCTAGAGCAGACATTGCACACCTGGTACCCTGAAGCTGTTTTTGACTACAACTCCCATCAGCCACAGTCAGCATGATGGGGGCTATTGTACAAAAAGATATGGAGGGCTGCAGCAGGTTGGCCCAGGCTGGTCTGGAGCCATGCAAACGGGTAGCCACCCGAGATGATTTCAAGGGTGTTCATATGGCACAGGGAACAAATGACAGAAGTCTACTGCTTGGGTCTTTCTTGAAAGGCCGTGGAAGGATTCTGCCAAGCATTCCTCTGAAGGTCTCACCCTGCCTGCCATTAGGGTCAGAGGACATCTGGGAGATGAAGAGCTTCTCCCAGCTCAGTCTGACCGTTCTCATTCTTCAAGAGGAGCCAGAAAGCCAAAAGTGAAGATGATGAATTTACATGACGGAGTTTGTTTGGGTCTCTCCCTCTCCCCTCGTTCCTTCTTTCTTTCCTTAAAATTGTTGGAATATTTTGTTAGTTGTTATACATTTGATAAATTAATACTGTACTGTTTGCAGCAAAAATAGCTCTCACAGAGGCACAGCAACTACAGTCTTTGGTTTGAAAGAATCTGGAATGTAGTAACATTATCAAAACTTACTATCACAGGAAAGAAAAAATAATCAGCAAACATCATCTATTGAATAATAGTCATTTTTTATTATGTTTTGGAATCATAAATTCCCAGAGAACATGCACTGTTGCATTATGGTATTGGTATTATTTTATATTATTTTCATCACTGTATAAATGATAAAGGTTATGCTACATATATTGACTTGTAAACTGTCCTAAATATAATATGTTAAAAACAAACAAACCAAAACTGTTTTCCACTGAAAAATAACTTAAATTGCCAGCAAAAAATACTAAATGAGATTTGGCACTGCGTCTCAGAGTGTTTTATTCATTTAGTTTAATTTTAAAGGGGAGTGAGGTTGCCTCCTGAATCTCTCCTGGAAACATTTCCCACCGTATGGGAGCAGGGACACTAAATGCCCAAATTCTGGTTGAGGCAAGTTTGGGTTATCTGCACCACGGGGGACAATTTACTATGCTCCTCTGGATTATCTCGGTGATCAAACTGGGATATAGAATCATAGAACTGTAGAGTTGGAAGGGACCCAAGGGTCCTCTAGTGACGTCCATCCCTCGAAATGCAGGAATCTCAGCTAAAGCATGCATGACAGAGGAACATCCAACCTCTGCTTAAAAACCTCCAAGGGGGGAGAGTCCATAACCTCCCAAGGGAGTCTGTTCCACTGTCAAACACTGTCAGAATGTTTTCCCTGTTGTTTAGCCGGAATCTCCTTTTTTGGAACTTGAAGCCAGGGGTTCGAGTCCTACCCTGCAGAGCAGGAGAAAACAAGCATGCTCCTAGATACCTGTTTATCTACTTGCACTTTTTGGCGTGCTTTCGAACTGCTAGGTTGGCAGGAGCTGGGACCGAGCAACGGGAGCTCACACAGCTTAAGGATGGGCAAATAAGTAATCTGCCTACATCGTGTGTTGTGTCAGTACGCCTTTGAGCCGGTGCCAACGACTGGGCTCAATAACTTCTTCTGCCCCGACTGGGCTAGGCAACTGGGGAGCACTTCCAGAGACCTTCCACTCCTGGAAAGCAGGTCTACTTGCACTGGACCCACAACTGTCCATTGTGAGCACCAAATTCAGCAGAGCATGAACAACACAGAAGATTGTTGTGAAGCATAACGTCTTTATTTTCTAAAAGCTACTGCAAACTAAAAACTAAAAGAGGTAACTGGACTGCATGAGTGTTACAGCTCTCACTCAGCCATCTAATCAATACAGAGATAACACACAGACTCCCACAGAGTCAGGCAGGAGTGGAAGAAGCAAAGAGCAGTTTCTGCCTCCTCCTTTCTGAAAACATCAAGTCAGGAGATTCTCGCAATGGGAGGGGGTGAAAATATCCACATGTTGCTCATCAAGACTGAGGGCTGATTTCCTTTCGCTTTGCTGCTGACTGTGTTTCAACCCTGCTAATGCCTGGTGGGAAGTATGGAGCTGTTAACGGAGAAATCCGAGGGCTCCCTTGGACAAAAAAACACAAGGACACCAGCCAGGAATACCAGAGCAAAACAGCAGCCAGTAGGCTTGGTCTTTATTGAAGACTGTTGCAACAGGACTCCCACCTGCCGCCAGGTGGAACAAGATGGAAGCCCAGAACAAAAAAGACCCCAACTTTTATTAGCTACTAATCCCCCAAGCTACACCCCTAGAACTACATCACAACTACATCATGACATCATTGACACATCACAAAAAGGAGGGGTTGAGGGAGGAGTTGTGACAGTAACCTGAGTATCTTGTCACCTGACTGGTTCCTCCTTTCCCCCTCCCCATGAGTCATTTACAGAGGACAAAAGGGAGTTTGCAGTTTCCTGCCCCCAGAGGGAAGATCTGATCATTGTCCTTTGTTCCAGTCCGTGTTGAATCCACTCCCATATGCAAGTCCTTTGTGACTTTGATGGTCTTCTGTCTGGGACCACCCAGGTTGTCATGCCAAGTGGGTAGGGCTCCTGAGTATGTGTTGGTACGCTCAAGGGATTATGGCCATCCTGTATCAAACCGTCCCCCTTTAATAGTCCTTCCTTCATGGAGCAAAATAAACTTGGACCGGTGTAAATCCGATGTACAGTTGATTTACTATGAATTTATAACAAATGTTGCGTATGTCGTGTGTGTGTGTGTGTGTGTGTGTGTTGTGTTTGTACAAACTGAATGATTGGGGGGGTCTGCAACAGAGGGCAAATCTGTTTATGGCGGTCTTCATGTCATAAGCAGCCACAAAGAGCCATTTGACAATGGAATGGTCTTCCTCGAGAAATTGTGGACTCTCCTTCCTCAGAGGTTTTTAAACAGAGGTTGGATGGCATTGCAGGGGGCTGGACTAGATGACCCCTGGCAGTCCCTTCCACCTCTTATGATTCTATGATTAAGTTTCTGGATCTCTTGGCTCCTGCAAAGCCAACCTGCTCTGCTAGTAACTCGGCACCTGGGCCTCAGTGCAAGGACGGCTGTCGTAACTTGTGTGTTGCGCAAACACTGTGGGCTGCATGGCGTTGGCACCAGGCTGGGGAGTGGGCAGAAACAGTCGATTGGGCAGCGGTCCCTCTTAATGGATGCCACATGGCTGTTGCATCAAAGTGCAGGCTGCCCTGACATACCTCTCCATCTGGTGGAAATAGGGACTTCTATGATTCCATGACCCCTTTTGGCCACAGAGTGGACTATAAATGTCAGGAGTAAATAACCAAGCAAGCATCAGCTGCCCCTGGGTTATGGCCTCTCCCTGCATTTTCAGAAAGCGCTGGGAGTCGCCCGTAGAAGCAGCATGCCAAGCTCTCGACAGCTGAGAGCCAGTGTGGTGTAGCGATTAAGAGCGGTAGACTCGTAATCTGGGGAACCGGTTTTGTGTCTCTGCTCCTCCACCTGCAGCTGCTGGGTGACCTTGGGCCAGTCACACTTCTCTGAAGTCTCTCAGCCCCACTCACCTCACAGAGTGTTTGTTGTGGGGGAGGAAGGGAAAGGAGAATGTGAGCCGCTTTGAGACTCCTTAGGGTAGTGATAAAGCGGGATATCAAATCCAAACAACTCTTCTTCTTCTTCTTCTTCTTTCTTCTTCTTCTTCTTCTTCTTCTTCTTCTCTCTTCCTCTGGCCAGGCATCCTCATGTGTTTTAATCTATAATTCCCCTACAACAGACACATTCATGACAAAAGAGCCGTCTCCGAGTTCTTCCCATTCACCAAAATGCTTTTCCCCCTTTCCAGAAGCTCTGCTTTGAACTAGACCCAAATGCTCAGATAAAGCCCTTATCTCTCTCTCTCACACACACACACAAGTGACATTTTCCTCCCAATTGCTCAGGGCTGCATGCAGGCATCTTTTCCTCACCCCCTTTTGGCCTCACAACAACCTGGTGAGCGAGGTTGAGCTGAGAGAAATGAGGGGTGCTCAAGAATGGGGATTCTGGGCCTAGTCTGACACTCTAAGGACTACCCCATACCCAGACCTCCTCTTTGGGCTTATCTACCCCAGGACAAAATGTGGGGATTCATTGATTCAGAGTTTCCAAGGATACCACCCCCAATACCCATCTCTCAACACTCAGCAGTAAGAGTCTGAGATGGGAGAAAGCAGCAAAAGAAATCATAGAATCATTGGATTCTAGAGTTGGAAGGGATGCCAAGGGTCATCTAGTCCAGCCCCCTGCAATGCCAGAATCTCAGCTAAAGCACCCAAGACAAATGACCTTCCAACCTCTGCTTAGAAACTTCAAAGGAAGGAGAGTCCACAACCTCCCAGGGGAATTTGTTAAACCGTCAAATGGCTCTTACCAACAGAAATTCTTCCTGGTGTCAGAATCTCATTTCTTGCAACTTGAAGTCATGGGTTTAAGTCCTACCGTCCAAGGAGAACACAAACTTGCTCCATGTTCCATGCAAAAGCCCTTAAGAAAATGGTCATCCTCTCACCTCCAGGCTAAACATACACAGCTTCTTGAGCAGTTCTTCATAAGACTTGGTTTCCAGGCCCTCAGTCATCTTGGTTGCCCTCCATGGCACACCTTCTAAACTGAACACTGTGCCCAACACCTCATCTTCACCTGGCAGCCCATCAGATATTTGAAGGTGGCTATCGTGTCTCCTCTCAGTTTCCTCTTTTCCAAACTAAACATACCCAGCTCCTTCAACCGTTCTTCATAAGGCTTAGTTTCCAGACCCTTGATCATTGTGGTCACCCTCCTCTGCACATGTTCCAGCTTGTCAAGATCCTTCTTAAATTGTGGTACCCAGAACTGGACACCGTGCTCCAGGTGTGGTCTGACCAAGGCAGAATAGAACAGGAATATTACTCCCCTTGATCTGGACACTAGACTTCTGTTGATACAGCCTAGAATAGCTTTGAGTTGTTAGGGTTTGTTTTTTTTCTGCTGCTGCATCAGACTTTCCTGTTATTTTCCAGGCAAAACCCATCCCCTCATTTTAGGGGGCAGAAGAGGGCACGGAATCACAGAATCACCCAACTGTAGAGTTGGAAGGGATACCCCCTGGTCCATTCCCTGCAATGCTTCCAACGAATGAATAAAACAAACAAGCAAAACAGACACCCACCCTTCCAGGGACCCCAAGCTCAGCACCCCAAGCTCAGCACCCCTTCCCTGCTTTCCAGAGGGCCTGAGCCAGCCTCTCCCGGATGCATTTGGTCTTGACCGCATAGACCACGGGGTTCAGGACAGGAGGGAGGAGCTGGTAGATGTTGGCCAGGAGAATGAGAAGGTGCTGAGGGATGGTGCCGTGGCTGAAGCGGTGGGCAAAGAAAGAGAAGAAGGCAGGGGTGTAGAACAAGACGATGACGCAAAGGTGGGAGCCGCACGTCCCGATGGCCTTGAGGCGGGCGTCCTTGGATGGGAGACGGAAAACCGCCCTGAGGATCAGAGTGTAGGAGACGGCAATGAGGACCACGTCCAGGCCGGGAGACAAAAGGGTGGTCGCCAAGCCGTACCAGATGTCGACGCCGATGTCGGCACAGGCCATGCGAGCGACGCCCATGTGCTCGCAGTAAGAGTGAGGCATCTCCCGGTGCCCACAGTACGGCAGCCTCTGGAGGAGGAAGACCGTGGGGAGCATCACACAGAAGCCCCTGGCGAGAGCGGCCAGCCCGACCCTCACGATGGCAGGGCGGGTGAGGATGGCAGAGTAGTGCAGTGGCTGGCAGATGGCAACGTAGCGGTCAAAGGCCATGGCGAGCAGGATGGTGGACTCTGTGATGAAGCTGAGGTGGGTGAAGAACATCTGGGCCAGGCAGGCCTGGAAGGAGATCTCCTTGGAGAGGGAGAGGAGGACGCTCAGGGTTTTGGGCACAGTGGAGGAGGACAAGGCCAGGTCTGCCAGGGCCAGCAGGGCCAGGAAGAGGTACATGGGCTGGTGGAGGCTGCGCTCGGTGGCGATGATGTACAGCAGGCAAGAGTTGCCCAGAAGGGCCACAATGTACATCAGGCAGAAGAGGAGGGCAATCCAGCTGTGGTACGCCTCCAGGCCCGGGATGCCAAGAAGGATGAACGAAGCCGGGTGGAAGGCACTCTGGTTGGCAGAGGTGGGTTCACCAACCTGGAGTGTCTTGGTTGTCTCCATGATATCTCAACCCACCAAGGTGGAGTCTGGAAGAGGGTAGCTTCCGAGAGAGGGAGGCAGAATGGAAGGAAATGAGCAGGTTGGAGGAATGGAAAGAGCAGCCTCAGTCCATTCCGTCCTCAGCCTGACGATTCACAAGTTGGATTTCATAGAATTGTAGAGATGGAAAAGATCCCGTGGAGACATTGAGTCCAGTCCCCCGCAATGCAGGAACCACAGCTACAGAACCCCTGACTTGTGGCCACCCAACATCTGCTTGAAAACCTCCAAGGAAGGAGAGGCCACCAGTCTGTTCCACTGTCAAACAGCTCTTGCCCTTCCTAAATTCCTTGTTCTCCAAGCGATACAGCAGTGAGGAAGGACTGGCTAGCATTGACTCACCAGGCAGGTCCTCTTTCTCCTGGATAGATGAGCTTCTGCCTGGGAGGGGAGGGAGCAGGTCAGGGCCTCGTTTATCCTCTGAGGTCTCCAGCTGCAACTGAGCAGAGGACTTCTCCTCTCCTCCACCCCAGCTGGTGAGGAAGCAAGGCAGCCCCCACTCCTCCAGCCTTCAAAGCTCCTTCTGATCTCTTCCCCTGTGGCTTCATCTGGGGACAGTATCCGGATAATGACTCTCGGCTTCCGCAGCCTCCCCCTTGGCCAGGAGCAGGTGGGGAGGAGCTGCAGCAGGTGGAGGCCCCTTGCTGGGAGAGGAGGAACCTGGCCACCTGCTCCCCTGGGCTCCCCCAGGGAAGAGAAGCCCCACCAAAGGGAGGGATGCCCCACAGACAGATCGTCGCCTTCCTGTCTCCCGCTCTGAGCTGCTGCCCTGCTGCCCAGCTGGGCTTTTCTGGGATCAAGGAATTGTAGAGCTGGAAGGGACCCCCAGGGCCATCTAGTCCAACCCCTTGCGATGCAGGAATAAATGCAGGGGTGCTTGTAAAGTTGATCTGCCTGGGGAGGGGGCATTTGCACCATGTCCAAAAACGGGGGAAATGAATCTCCAGTCAAAGAGGTCAAAAGAGGATTCGCACATCTAACCCATGCTGCTATCATGATCATTAAGAACAGGGAGAATACAGTGGTACCTTGGTTCTCAAACGCCTTGGTTCTCAAACAACTTGGAACCCAAACACTGCAAACCCGGAAGGAAGTGTTCTGGTTTGCGAACTTTTTTTGGAAGTTGAACATGCTCCTTTTTGAGTGTTATGCTTCCGATTTGAGTGCCACACTTCTGTTTGGAGTGTTACGCGGAGGTCTGTCTGTTTTTGCTATTTATTTTGTGTTTTTGTGGCTGTGTGTGTGTGTGCGTGTCTGTGTGGAACCCAGTTCAGCTACTGATCGATTGTGAGACTGCAGCACATTGTTTATTGCTTTCATTTTATGGATCAATAGTCTCATCAGATAATAAAAATTCATGTTAAATTGCTGCTTTGGGGATTGTTATTAAAAGTCTGGAACGGATTAATCCCTTTTGCATTCCTTTCTATGGGAAAGCGCGCCTTGGTTTTGGAATGCTTTGCTTTTGGAACGGACTTCCGGAACGGATTAAGTTTGAGAACCAAGGCACCACTGTATATTGTAAAACCATCAGGAAGGACTTTCTGAGAGTAGGAGCTGTTTGACGGTTGAACCGATTCCTTGAGAAGGTGGTGGACTCTCCTTCCATGGAGGTTTCCAAACAGAGGCTGGATGGGCTTTAGTTGAGATTCCTGCATTGCGGGGGGTTGATGACCCTTGGGGTGCAGGGCAGCAGATCCTGATGAGGATCTTTATTCTTTCCTTCTTCCTGATCGAGATGCTTGCCCCTTCCCTTCTTCCCTAGAGAGGAGGGGGCGTCATTTTGTCATTCGCATCAGGTGCCAAAATGTCTTGGGCTGGCCCTGGGCGTCAGCGGTCGGCATCTGAAAAGTGTGCCTGGAAGGGCTGCAATGATAGCAGGTCATTTGCAACAAAGGGGGAGATAAACGAATAAATGGAGAACAGGGGGAGCCCACGGTTCCTGCTTTCAGTTTACTTATTATTCTGCTTCCACTTGCCCATCCAGTGATCTTTTCTTGCTTACAGGGCTCGGGAAATGTTCCCAGAGCCCAGAAAGCAGCCCTTTCCCTCGCTGGGCACAGGGGCAGTTCTGGGGGTTCTTGACTTTGCAAGATTTGGGTTTTGTGCACGCAGACACCCCCCCAACAAAATCCTCACGTAAGGGGTGGGCCAACTGTACACACATGGCATCAGAGTGGGGGTGCAATGTCAGAGGAGGACACCTGGGGCGGTGAGGGGCAGGAGGGGGCAGGGAAGAGAGCTGGGGGTTTCGCCTCTAGGGGCTAAATGTCCCAGACCACTCTTGCCAGCGGCCACCAAAAGTCCTCTTCTCCATGAATCCCTCCATTCCTCTTCTCAAGCCATTCAAGTGGCAGGGTGTTCCATAGTTTAGGTCTGCGCTGCACCAAATAAAGACTTTCTTTTCTCTGTCCGCAATCTCCCAACATTGCGCAGGAGTTCTAGTGTGTTACTCCTTTGTTGCCTTTTCTCTAACCCAGAAAAGGCAAATTGTTTTTTTTTCTTCAGTGATTTTTATTGATTTTTTTTTCAAATATCTTAATCACAATACAGCTTAATAATAATATTCTCCTTAAAATCTATATCTTATCCGAATTAACTTCCTTCTACCCCTCTTCTGGCTTCTCTATATTGCTCTTACTTAAGCGTGTTTACTATATATACATTCTATAAATGTCTATAATTCCTTAATAAGTTTTTGCATTATACTTTAAACATACAACCCTTATTATATTACAGCATTACATCTTATGGTCTAACCAAATGTATACAATAAATGTTAGGAGTTTTATATCAGTCCTGTGAGTGTCTTTATTTATGTACAGTTTTCTCTAAGTATACCATAAATTCGGACCATTCTTTTTGGAATTTCTCATTGTCCTGCTGTCGGACTCTTCCAGTTAGCATTGCTATTTCCGCATACTCCAATACTTTCTGTTGCCATTCTTCAATTGTCGGAATATCCTGTTGTTTCCATCTCTGTGCAAGGAGTAGTCTTCCTGCTGTTGTGGCATACAGGAAGAATTTCTGGTCTTCCTTTTTAATGTCCTCTCCAACCATTCCTAGCAAAAATGCCTCCGGTTTTTTTAAATAAAAGGTGTACCTAAATATATTTTTTAACCCATTGTACACACTATCCCAAAACCACCACATGTGGAGACAATTTCCCTCTTTTACAGTGCATTTCCAACAGTTCTTATTTTTCATTTTGTACATCTTTGTTAGTTTGGTGGGTGTTAAGTACCACCTATACATTGTTTTTAACAAATTCTCTTTTAAGGTCATGGATGTGGTAAATTCTATTCCTAAATTCAATAGTCTTGTCCATTTCTCATACTTGATATTATATCCTAGGTCCATTGCCCACTTAGTCATGACCTCCTTAATTTCTTCATCTTTTGTATGCCATTCCAACAAAAAAAATCATATACTTTAGACAACATCTTTGTACGACCTTGTAATACCCCAGTCTCCAGTATTGATCTATCATGATTAAATCCAATACTTTCCTTCCAATACAAAGTATTGGAAGACACAAGATTTACCCACTCTGGAAGAATGGCAGATGAAGGTGATGGGCTACATGGAATTGGTGGAAATGACTGGTAGAATCCGAGACTAGGGAGAAGAGTCAGTGGAAGAAGACTGGAAGAAATTTAAAGACTATTTACAGAGATACTGTAAAATTAATGAATGTTAGAATGATGTTAGAACTGGATATGGAACAACTGATTGGTTCAAAATTGGGAAAGGAGTACGACAAGGCTGTATTTTGTCTCCCTGCTTATTTAATTTATATGCAGAATACATCATGCGAAAGGCTGGACTGGATGAATCCCAAGCTGGAATTAAGATTGCCGGAAGAAATATCAACAACCTCAGATATGCAGATGACACAACCTTGATGGCAGAAAGTGAGGAGGAATTAAATAACCTTTTAATGAGGGTGAAAGAGGAGAGCGCAAAATATGGTCTGAAGCTCAACATCAAAAAACGAAGATCATGGCCACTGGTCCCATCACCTCCTGGCAAATAGAAGGGCAAGAAATGGAGGCAGTGAGAGATTTTACTTTATTGGGCTCCATGATCACTGCAGATGGTGACAGCAGCCACGAAATTAAAAGACGCCTGCTTCTTGGGAGAAGGGCAATGACAGGCCTAGACAGCATCTTGAGAAGTAGAGACGTCACCTTGCCAACAAAGGTCCGTATAGTTAAAGCCATGGTTTTCCCAGTAGTGATGTATGGAAGTGAGAGCTGGACCATAAAGAAGGCTGATCGCCGAAGAATTGATGCTTTTGAATTATGGTGCTGGAGAAGACTCTTGAGAGTCCCATGGACTGCAAGAAGATCAAACGCATCCATTCTTAAGGAAATCAGCCCTGAGTGCTCACTGGAAGGACAGATCGTGAAGCTGAGGCTCCAGTACTTTGGCCACCTCATGAGAAGAGAAGACTCCCTGGAGAAGACACTGATGCTGGGAAAGATGGAGGGCACAAGGAGAAGAGGACAACAGAGGACGAGATGGTTGGATAGTGTTTTCGAGGTTACCAGCATGAGTTTGACCAAACTGCGGGAGGTAGTGGAGGACAGAGGTGCCTGGCGTGCTCTGGTCCATGGGGTCACGAAGAGTCGGACACGACTAAACAACTAAACAACAACAAAGAATGATGTTGGATTGAAATTAAGTGGTTTCTAGCTAATGGTATAAAAGAATATGAAAAAATGGTTTTTTATAAGTAAAAATTTAATGTTATAATAATTTAAGATTAAAGATCTGGGTAGAATAAAGAGGGATAGAAACTGCTGAGCTAATAAATTGAACTGGAATACAAAAAAGGGAGGTCCGAGGAGGTCCGAGAAACAAGTAAATGAAAAATAATGTGATGAAAGGATTGATTGTTTTTAACTATTTTTATTTTGTATTTTTTCTTTCTCTATTTTGTAATGTAATAAAAATTTTATATATATAAAAAAATCATGATTAAATCCATAATATATTTTTTTTATCTTTAAGGAATATATCATTAATTAATTAATTAATTGTACATCTTTGCTAGTTTGGTGGGTGTTAAGTACCACCTATACATCTTCAGGCTACAGACAGAAAAGGCAGCTTGAACCCTTCAGCTGCAAGAGCCCAGGTGCCCCCCCTCCAAATCCCAGGCCCATTATAGGCTCCCACTCGGGAGATGGTGCAACGGCTTATAAACCCTGCAAAGGGCAGGAGATGAGGATGCCCCTCCTGGCACAAGACTCCTCTGGACCCTCTTGCAAGGATTGAGTAAGTCACACAGGCTGCTCGCTGAACAGGACCCCTGTGGAGGGAGGGGGCATGTTGGGTCTTTGTCTGGGTGACCTGGGCGAGGGTGCTAGACAGGGAGGCTGGGAGCAGCTCAGCCAAAGGAAACAGGAGCCCGGTTTGCAAAGAGATGATGCTGAACATCACATAATTCGGTTCAGAAAAAACAAAGGGCTCCTTTAACTGGTGTATGGCTCAAGCGGTTCAGAAAAGAGCCGCCCCAATGGCCAAGAGGCTGGAGCGACTTCCCTCTTGATGGAGGTTTGCAGCATTCTTGGGTTAAAGGAAAAGCAGCTCAGTCAGTAGAGCACGAGGCTCTTAATCTCGGTGTCTCTTTTGAGCCCCACAACGGGCAAAAAAATATTCCGTCATTGCAGGACTAGATTCCACTAGTCCTGGCGCTCACTTCCAACGGTGCCATTCCACGGTTCATGATAGTAGTTTGTGGAATGACGCACAGCGTGGAGAGAGAAAGCTTTCCCCCCCTTTCCCTCCCTCATAACACTAGAATTCAGCGGGGACATCCGAGGAAGCAGCTGGATTTAAAAATCTGCCCTGAATCTGTGGGACTCCTGCCTCAGGAGGAAGGAATGGCCACCAACCTAGAAGACTTTAAAAGAGGATTGGACAAGTTTGTGGAAGATAAGGCTGTGGCTTTTGGCCAGGATGGCTCTGCCCTGCCTCCACATCAGAGGCAGAGATGCTTCTGAAGGCCATGGTGTAGCTATTTGGCACCTGGCAACTGAAAGAGAGAAGGTAGCCCATGTTCCTGTCCCAACCTGGAACGGATGGGACATGTCTTGGTTGACTGAGTGGCTTGCGAACCTTGGGTGGCTTAGAGGACTTGTAATGATGTTAATGGACTAATCTTGCTTCTTTTCTGCTCCTGGATACCCTGCTTAACGCAATGCCTGCAAAATATGATGCATAAAATGATGTTGCAAATGATTCGGCCCCAGATTACAGCACTGACACGACCCAGTACCTTGGGATGAGCCGAAAGGCTGTCCAAAAGAAGAGTAGGGAATGAAGGAATGGGTTTCCAAGACCCAAAAACTGACTGTGCAGGCAGTTTGAAACTGCACCAAAATTCCTATTTTTCCTTAGCTAAAATGCATAAGCCGTTGAGTAAATCCATAACAAGAACAAAGCTCTCTCCCTTATCAGTCCGTGGCGGCAATGAGTGACCTTGCCAAGTTCCAGTACAGCAGGCATGATGCGTGTGTGCTTTATCTTATGTGCTGACCACAAAGATGCGCAGACCCACGTCTGGGAATAACGCCAGAGTGTGTTCTCGGAAATGGTGACCCCTGCGTCCCACATAAGAGTAGGAGGAGGAAGATCCTTTTATGGTCAGAAGTACAGGAAGGAAGATCCTTTTATGGTTGAGAGTACCAGAGCAGAGCCTGATCACCTCATCTGTCTCCTGAGAAATCTCTATGTGGGACAAGAAGCTACAGTTAGAACTGGATATGGAACAACTGACTGGTTCAAAATTGGGAAAGGAGTACGGCAAGGCTGTATATTGTCTCCCTGCTTATTTAACTTATATGCAGAATTCATCATGTGAAAGGCTGGGCTGGATGAATCCCAAGCAGGAATTAAGATTGCCGGAAGAAATATCAACAACCTCAGATATGCAGATGGCACAACCTTGATGGCAGAAAGTGAGGAGGAATTAAAGAACCTTTTAATGAGGGTGAAAGAGGAGAGCGCAAAATATGGTCTGAACCTCAACATCAAAAAAACGAAGATCATGGCCACTGGTCCCATCACCTCCTGGCAAATAGAAGGGGAAGAAATGGAGGCAGTGAGAGATTTTACGTTCTTGGGCTCCATGATCACTGCAGATGGTGACAGCAGCCACGAAATTAAAAGACGCCTACTTCTTGGGAGAAGGGCAATGACAGGCCTAGACAGCATCTTGAGAAGTAGAGACGTCACCTTGCCAACAAAGGTCCATATAGTTAAAGCCATGGTTTTCCCAGTAGTGATGTATGGAAGTGAGAGCTGGACCATAAAGAAGGCTGATCGCCAAAGAACTGATGCTTTTGAATTATAGTGCTGGAGGAGACTCCCATGGACTGCAAGAGTCCCATGGACTGCAAGAAGATCAAACGCATCCATTCTTAAGGAAATCAGCCCTGAGTGCTCACTGGAAGGACAGATCCTGAAGCTGAGGCTCCTGTACTTTGGCCACCTCATGAGAAGAGAAGACTCCCTGGAGAAGACACTGATGTTGGGAAAGATGGAGGGCACAAGGAGAAGGGGGCGACAGAGGACGAGATGGTTGGACAGTGTTTTCGAGGTTACCAGCATGAGTTTGACCAAACTGCGGGAAGTAGTGGAGGACAGAGGTGCCTGGCGTGCTTTGGTCCATGGGGTCACGAAGAGTCGGACACGACTAAACGACTAAACAACAACAACAACAACAACCAGAGCAGGAACATATGTGATGTCAACCTGCGTACGTAGGCCGACGTGGTTGGGCTCCTAGGGGAGGAGTGAGAGGGTGCCAGGAGGATATATAAACTGCATGAAACCTGTCATTTCTTTGGACTTGCTGGGGACTAATCACGCAAGTGCCTTCTGCTATCCGGAGAGCAGAATAAACTCTTTCTTTGAACCAACTCGGTGTTATTTTGACTTCCTTCCTCCTGTCCCGGAGCAACGCAGACCCAATCGGTGAACTCCAATAAGGCTACAGTTAGCCCCCTAAAAACTCTGATACCCTATTTTTAAATACAATATACTCCCATACAGACTCTTTACAATGCCTTTAAAACCAAATATCTCAAGGGCTGTCAGAAGGGGGCAAGCTTCTTTTCTCCCGCTCTGGAGGGTAGGACTCAAACCTATGGCATCCAGTTACAAGAATGGAGATTTTGACTAAACATTTGGGGGTAGGGAAAGAACTTTCTGACAGAGCTGTTTGACAGTGGAAGGGACAGCGGGACCTCCTTCCTGGGAGGTTTTTAAGCAGAGGTTGGATGGCCAGCGGGTGAGACTCCTGACGGGGTCCTTGCCACAGGATCACATTCATCCAGTGCTTTACCAGCTGCACTGGCTCCCGGTGGAGTACAGGGTCAGGTTGAAGGTGCTGTCGCAAGAGACCAGGGCCCTGCGGGACTTGACACCTTTCCGCAGGGCCTGCAAGACAGAGCTGTTCCACCAGGCCTTTGGTTTGGACTCACTCTGACCCTTATGTTTCCCTCCCCTTATGGTTTTGATTTATCGGCCACTTTTAAAATGAGGCTGCATTTTAACCTGTATTTTAAATTGCCCCCCATTATGTTTTTACTGTGATTTTATTGGTGTTGGCCACCCTGAGCCCAGCTGTGGTCGTATAAATAAAATTATTATTATTATTATTATTATTATTATTATTGATACGGAAGGAGGAAGGGGGGGGGGCAACCATTTCCCTCCATCGCTACCTGAAGGGGCCCGAGGCGATGACCTCTACAGTGCCCAATCCTTCCTGGAACCCTCAGCCCCACATCGTTGCACAAGCACCACACTATACCCCTGCCTTACTAATAAAAGGCTCTTTCCTGTCTCAATCTCTTCCTATGCCTCCCTCTTGCCCTATTCCTAAGGCGAGTTGACCGTATCATACTACGTCCCCATTCAAAATACTGAGCTGCGCCTTAGCCAATCACAGCCATGCATCCATCCTGCAAGAACTAGCTCAGGCAGCTCAGCGAGCTCTTGCACGCCTCATTAAAGCTGCTGACAAGCTACTGACGGCCCCCACAGCGAGAACAATCGAACCGAAACTTCTGACCTCCTAATCCAATCAAAACCTTGTTACAATGTATCCATTTTGCTCGTAAACCTGTCAAAACCTTGTTACAATGTATCCAACTTTGACCGGGGCTACGGAACAGGTTGGGAACCTTCAGAACCTTCCGAAAATCATATAAAATCAACCATAGCTCCGAATTCCTTGCTTTCAGTGTCATTCAACCCAGCTCCCTTTGGACTCCATGATGACACCCTGACCTCCATAATCCCTCAAGCGGCAGGACACGTACACAGGAACTTCTTAATCCTGTCAGATCGTCCTGCCTAACCCTTCCTCCGGGCAATACCAGGTGGCAGACGACGCATATCACTGTCCCTTTGTCCAGCCACCACCGGTACTCAAGAAATGTTTACTTATGTATATCCATCACTCTGCACATTCCCCCCTCCCTTGTCTCAAATGCTAATCAGTGTAACCCCACCTCTCTGTAAATATATTCATGACGTGTGTAAAATATTCGTGATGTAATCCATGAAACCCAACCTTCCCATAATGTATTCATGACGTTTCGTGCACTGTATTCTGGGACTTGGAGGGAACTTTTAAAAGTTTATGTCGCCCCATTCTCGGGGTTCAATCTCGTCTTGAACCTGTTGCGCAATAAACTCGGATCTCCGCATCTTGCTCCTGTTTCCGGCTGAGCTTATTTTCTCCGCTAGGACCCGCGGACTCAGTCCGACGCACCGGGTGGCTTGGAATTCCACGCCCGGGATTTTTCCGTAACATTTGGCGCCCGAACAGGGACGAGCGGTTCTCCCGTGTTGCTGACCGGGGGCCCCGAATCTTCTGCCGGCTCCGGGCCAGTTTGCCCGAGAAGACCCTCTGGACCTCCGGCCATCCTCCGGGCGGTAATCGAACGTCCCAGGAGTTCAGCCGGGGAGCAAAGGGACATCCAGCCGGCTTCTACGATCCCGGGATCTACACGGAAGACGCGTGAGTATAGGAAACCCAGTGCACTGGTGGAAAAGGGGGTGGAAGTCTCCTGGCAACTGAATTCTCTGCCCTCCTCTCTATCGCTCTTTCTCGCCTGTCCCTTGGTCCAAGTGCTGAGAGAGACCGTGGACTGCCGCTCGGCCCGAAAGGGGGGCTCTGAGCTCTATCTCTTTCTCTCAAATTCTCCAGTCAGCCGCACCAATCGAGAGTCCGAAAATAAGACGGAGAGACCCGGCTTGAAAGGACAGCCGACTCCCTGCAACGGGCATCTCGGTTGAAAGCAAGGGATTGGAGTTCTTCTTCCGAACTTCCCGAGCGCCCTTACGGAGGGGGCAGGAAGGGGTCTTGCTTTCCTATCAATTAATCCCAGCCGCACCGGTCGGGCCACGTAACACGTGTATCGTGCGTGAGCCCGCTTCCGATAGCAAGGGGGATTTTCCGTCCGAAACTCTATCAAGGGATCACCCGATCTGGCACCGCACGGCGCGGGCGTTCAGTAGGGTCCCTCTTCCGAGATTTAACGATAGGTAGGAGGTTGCCAGGAGGGGAACCCGAGAAGAGTTGGGTGGAACTTGGCAGAGTGGAGAGGAACCCCTGAGAAAGTTGAAGAGTAGGAAAGGAAGGAATAGAGAATAGGCAAGAAGAGCTCTCTAAGAAACCCGCTAAGAAGTTGCTAAGCAGCGAAACCCTCCCCTAAGCCCACACCCCCCTAACAACCCCTTTTCCCCTCTCTTTACCTAGACACGCGTGAATAAAATGGGTACCCAAGCCTCCAAACACGAGAGGGCTCGCTCCGGGAGGAAGGCTTCTAGGAAGCCATCCGAGTCCCAGAGAGACCCCGACTCCCCTCTTGAGTTCGTCATCTCTTACTGGAAATCTATTCCCGGGCACAAATTGTTATCGAGACAAAAATTAGAAGATCTCTGTACACGCACCTGGCCCACTGGAACTGCCTCCGCAAAACCAGAGTTACAGTGGCCAAAAGGGGGCTCCTTTAATGAAGAGCGCCTACAATACCTTAAGAAGTACCTGATGGAAGAAAAACCCCGCCAATTAGAATACCTAGCCACATTTGAGACGGTCAGAGGACTGCTCCAAGCCACTAAAAGAGCCACGACCTACCAACTACCTATCTTAAATCATGGAAGGTCGCCTCCGCCCCCTCCATACGAAGGACACCCAGGGGATGACTCCATGGAACAAACGCTCATTCCATTCTACTATGGGCCAACTATTCCACCCACCCTTAGAGAGGACTCAGACAGCGATGAGAATGTAGAAGACCAAGGGGCGCGTGGGGTTGCGAGCCCGCGGTTAACGAGGCAGCGAGCCAGAGTAATACAAAGCGCCACCTTAGAGAGCTCTGATCTCCTGTCCTTGAGGCAGCGAGCCAAAGAAATACTAGAGGCCACTTCAGGACACCCTAGCCTCCTTGAAAAATCTAAAGAGAACCCCGAAAAATCTCAAGAGGTCCCAGAGACATCCAAGCAAGCGGATTCAAATCAGGCAGACTCCGCAGCAGTCCAGATGCCCTTAAGGGCCCTGCCGATCCCACCCCTACGACCAGATGGACCCCCTCGAATGGT